AACATTAAGCATAATACGTCTAATAATTTTAAAATAACACAAATTGTCTCAAATCAACTTAAAATCTTAAATACGAATGTCTGGAGAACGCGCAAGACAACTCTGTATATGCCTCCTTAAATAGCGCGTGTCCTTCAATTTTGGAAGATGAGTGTAGACTCGACCACAGTTCTTGCACTTTATTATGTAAACTTCTTCATTTTCTTCTACCATATTAAAGTGTTCCAAAACAAATGGGCGTCATCTAGAATCACCGGGCATGATTTAACTTGAATTAAGAATTTGAGTTTGAGAAATGAGCGATGAGTGAAGACTTGAATACTTCAATTTGAGTTTGAGAAATGAGAGAGATTGATGATTTTGTGAGAAAAATAAAAGAATGGGGTGGAGGGTATTTATAATTGAAAATAGGGAAAAAGTGTAATTATAAAAAGTCTGGGGTTAAAACAAAGTTGGGGGTGGGTTAAATGGCTATTTTAGAAAGCCCAAACGACTATTTTTGCAGGCCAATGGCCATTTTTTAAATGTTGCAACGACCAAAAAAAATTTTGGATTTTTTTTAAAAAAAAAAGTAGTCGTTGAGCCCGTTTAGGACCGGTTGAACCGGCCCACTTAGGACCCGGTCTCGGGCCCAAACGGTCTCGGGCCTAACGGGCTTCTCAATGAACCGGCCCAACTGAGTCTCAAGCCCCCTGGTCCCGGGCTTAAACGGGTAGGCCCTTTTAGGCCCACTACCTATATGGCTCGCGGGCCTGGGCCGGCCCGCGACTAACTGGCCCACTTGCCACCCTTAGGTGGGAAGGTTGAGAAGGGGTTTTGAAAAATATTTTCCCTTCTCTTGACGAGGAAAACATTTTCTCTAATTGGAGGGAAATGAGTTCATAAGGAAAATATTTTTCAAAACATTTAAGCCAACCAGACATGGGAAAATTGGAAATATTTTCCTTCGTACCAAACACTAGAGTGTTGATGGTTTTGAAAATTTGAGTTTACAATTTTGTTAAAGATTTTTATTAAAACGTCTACATTCTATTTCACATAAACATATCAAGATTTGTTACATCCTCTTTGCAATTATTATCTAGGCATGTAAATGAAGTGGTAAACAGGGCGTTATTGAATGAATAAAAGAGAGTTTAAGAGAGTGATTCAAGTAGTTATTTTGGTTATTTTTCCTTCCCCAACTGCACCTATAAAAGCAACTAAAAGAATACAGAGTATTAACTAGGCAGTTTATTTATTCTCAATAAAAATTTTGCTTAATTCTTATCTAGATTTACGACCAAAATTCTAATAGCGTGATGATATAAAACAAATATGTGAAGTTTGTAATTAACTTTAGTTGACGCTTTAGTTCAAAATAATTTCCACTTTATAAATTCAAGACTAAATTTGTTAGTTGTTTCCATATCCTTACAACAATAACAATAACGACCCAGTAAAATCTCACAAGTAGAGTCTGGAGAGGGTAGTGTGTACGCAGACCTTATCCCAACCCCGAAAAAGTAGAGAGGTTGTTTCCGAAAAAACTTCGGCTCAAGAAAACGGAAAAGACAAGAAGAGAAGGGAGAGGACAATATATTAGTACCATCAAACAGAAACTAAAGAAATAATGACAACATCATAAAAACTAGAAAATAATTGAAATGCAATAACAAAACCAGAAAATAAGTCCCGATGATATACACAACGAAAGGATAGTGTGAACACAATATTAACCACTAGCAGTCTAAGGCCAACCCTATCAAACTAGCATCACCCCCGGACTCGACTACGTTCTAACCTATAACTCTAATGCTCAACCTTCACACCTTCCTATCAAGGGGCATGTCCTAGGAAATCTACAGCAACACCATGTCCTGTCTGATCACCTCTCCCCAATACTTCTTATGCCGCCCTCTACCTATTCTCGTACCCGCCAAGGCCAAACGCTCTCACCTCCTCACCGAAGCATAAAGGCTTCTCCTCCCCATGTGCCCGAACAACCTGAGTCTCGCTTCTCGCATTTTGTCGTCCATAGGAGCCACACCCACCTTCTCCTGAATAACTCTATTCCTAATCTTATCCATCCTAGTATGGTCGCACATCCACCTTAGTCTCCTCATTTATGCTGCTTTCATCTTCTGAATACGAGAGTTCTTAACTGGCCAACACTCTGCCCCATACAATATGGCCGGTCTAACCATAGAATTTACCTTTGAGTAACAGCGGCACTTTCTTGTCATTCATAACTCCTGAATCCTGATGCTAACCTCTATTTTATCCATCCCACCCATATACGGTGTGTGACGTCCTCGTCGATCTCTCCGTAAGATAATCGACCTTAGGTATTTAAAACTACTTCTCTTGGGGATGACATCCAAACCTCCCATCCATACCCACTTCCCCCAACTCGGCGCCGAACTTGCACTCCAGATATTATGTCTTAGTCCTGCTCAACTTAAAACCCATAGACTCAAGGGCATGTCTCCAAACCTCCAGCTTGTCACTAACACTGCCTCGCGTCTCATCAAGACGTCAGCGAATAACATACACCATGACACCTCCCATTAAATATGGTGTGTCAATGCGTCCATCACCAGGGCAAATAAGAACGGGTTGAGTGCAGATCCTTAGTGTAACCCGTAACAATCGAAAAATGCTCTGAGTCGCCTCCCACTGTCCTAACCCGAGTTTTAGCTCCATCATCCATGTCCTTGATCGCTCTAATGTAAGCTACTGTCACACCTTTTGCCTCTAGGCATCTCCAGAGAACCTCCTTATAGACCTTGTCATATACTTTCTCTAAGTAAATAAACACCATGTGCAGATCCTTCTTCCTATCCCTATACTGATCCACCAACCTCCTAATAAGGTGGATAACTTCCGTAGTCGAACGACCCGGCATGAACCCGAGCTGGTTGTCAGATATAGACATAATCCTCCTCACCCTTACTTCCACCACCCTTCCCCGTCGCTCTGCCCCTACTCATCTTACGCATAGCCCCCACGACCTCATCGACCTTAATGTGCATACTCAAACTCTCGGAGACTCTCTAAATGCCCTAGATCGCCTAGCACAATATCCCCGTCCCCTTCTCCATTCAGAAGTTCATGAAAGTAAGTCTGTCATCTCTGCTTAATCTAAGCCTCCCCCATCAACACTCTACCGTCCTCGTATTTGATGCACCTCACTTGGTCCAGGTCCCGAGCCTTCCTCTCTCTCGTGTTAGCCAGCCAAAATAAATTCTTATCTCCACCTTTTTCCCCTGTTCCTCGTACAGACGACCAAACGCTGCGG